ATGACGTGTCTAGCCGTCCAGTATATTCAAAATAACATATAACTCATGCGCGCTATACCCCGTTCGTAGTCCATTTACGCCCAGACAAAACACAACATGCCCTAAAGCGAGATTGTACAGGTCCGTATTTTCCCCAATGGTCTTGGAATGATCTAACAAAATAAATGACTATTTTTATGTCAAGAAGTGCACATACTTCTCACAATTCTTTATTCGCTGGAAGTACTTGAATCATCGTCGAATGGTTAATATTAATTATTATTGGTTCAGCTTGAATGTCGATCATATTGTCGAGATCTCACATCTTTGTTTCGATTGTTTCTTGAATGCAATCTTTCCAATGGTTTGCCGTCACTCTGTTGACAACTTCACAAAACAAGTTTTTCACGTCAGAAAATTGTTCTATTATTCGAAGCCACGTAGTTTTTTATATTTGCCCAAATCATTTCAATGGGATTTAATTCGCAGTGGTAAGGGGGTAGCTTTAAAACGGCCTTATAGTCAACGCCAAACAAAGTGGCGTGCACGTCATCAAGGTGGGTGTGTTGAAAAATTTACATTGTTGCCAAACTTTTTGTAAAATAATAAAATTTATTATTTACATATCTAGGTTTATAAGCAATATTAACCTCAAATGAGAACAAAAATAATAGTATAATAAAATTATAGATCTGTACTTGCATAATCATTAAGTATGACAATTATTGATCAGATGACACTATGAAACTACCATATTTAATTGATAGCTTAAAGGTACTGAATAAAAATCCAAATGGGGTCCTCCAAATTTTATGCATGGTATTTATTTTACAGAATTCATACAGAAAAATGCATTCTAAAATTAGGTAAGCTACTGGTGTAAGCTTTTTCTGTACAATAAAGTTAGTCGGAGTTTCTTTCTTCAGCGCTGTCTGAATCTGAATCTTCATCACTCTCAAAGTTGATTATTAAAGGTTCGATGTCTGGTCGATCAAAAATTCGTTCTCTTTCATACCATTTAAAAATTTCTTGCTCAGTATGTCGAACACTATTTTTCCACATGTCTGGGGTAACCGTTTGTAGAGCCTCGTTCCACATATCCAAACAGTCTTTTTCACTGTTACCATCTCTACCAATATGTCTGTTATAGTAACCTTTTGCTATGCCCCAAATTAACTCAATAGGGTTAAATATACAATGGTAAGGAGGCAGACGAAGAACTTTGTGCCCATGTTGTTCCGCCAATTCATCAATCACGTATATTTTAGGTGGTTTGTTTCTAAAAAAGCAGTTATTTTAAGAATAGGAATAAACAAAAGAAATATAAACTGTCGACCAAAATATATATATAATTAAGAAGCATTTGTACCGAGCAACAATACTCAATAGCTCTGTTTTAAACATTGTGTTTAAAAATGGTATGTTTTGATTTGTCAACCAGTCTTGGATATTTTTTTTTGTCCATGCATTGTTGGGCACTTTGTTCAATATCATGCTGTGATAAGGGGCGTTATCCAGTATAATCATAGATGGACTCGCCAATTTTTCTAATAACTGATGTTGAAACCATTTCAGAAAATTGTCCTGGTTCATCTCTCCATGGTAATCGCTCAATTTTGTTTTCGAAGAAAATATCGCTTCACTACCCTCAATAAACCCATTTTCATTTCCAGCATGTAATATAATGTATCTAAAATATATTAGTTTTAAATTTTATAGTGCAAATTGTGTAAAAGTACATACCTTTTACCATCTGTTTTAATAGCTTTCACGCTTTTTTGGTTTCCATTTTGCCAAGAGCGACCTATGGTCCCATTTTGAAATATCCAAGTTTCATCGAGGAAGACAAACTGGTATAAGGCCTCAACCTTGGCTTGATTGTATTGCCTTAGAAATTCCACCCTTTTCAAAGCTATACTTGGTAGTTCCATGAGCCCTCGTCGCGGATTGTCCTTAAGCCACTTAAATCCAAGATCTCTAAGCAACCGCCTTAAAGACGTGGCACTACTATCAAATAATGCCCTATCTCTTAATCGAGACCATAAAGTTTGTATCGTAACTTGTTCTTCTGAAACCATGTGTAATATGACATTATAATTTAGTTAACAAATTAATGCAAATTTCTGATAAGTTATTATAATAACATCTTACTTTTGTGATACATATTATAGATCACTTCTCGAATGGCACTTGTATCCAATGTCGCTGTGTTGGTTACACGTTTAATATAACTCCGCTTTTTCTTGGGCGATTCTAAATTTGCATCACTTTTCACACCCTCGGAAATACGACTAACTGTCCTTAAAATAATTTTTAAAGCAGCAGCAACACGCTACAAAAAATGAAATAAAATTTCACTATTATTAATATACATTACATATAATTATTAGTAACCTACCTCTTGAACAGCATTTAAAGGCAACAAAGGCCCGTTGTTGTCCCTTTCTTGCTCAAAGTAGTGCATTAACGAGGCCACGAGTTCCTTACACCGACTATTTAACTGTTTGGGCATCTTTATATACCAAAATTGCCTTTATCTACTCGTAAAATGAATAATTTTGTTTTGAAACAAACAGTTGTTGATTTACAGTATGCGGGGCCAAAGGATTTATAAAGATTTGAAATGCCACAAATTGATTCAGTGTCAAAATTAATACAAATGTCAGTTCCCAGTTTAAATAAGTTTCAAGGTGACAATGTGTCAACGCTGCGAAATCGGTTTAGTGCGTTTACATGTCGATAAGTGATTGGAGCGTTTGCAAAACATTTTATTTCGCATAATGCGTCTAAATTTATCAGAAAGCAACTTATGTGATATTTTAATAACAATGTTTATATGACTATTAACCATAATAAGAGAGTAATGACCATTTTACAATTTATATATCACATTAATATGAAACTGCAATAGAGCAATTGTTTGTGATAGAAACCTAGGCATTAGGTCGGGGAATTTTTATCGTGATGACGTGCACGCCACTTTGTTTGGCGTTGACTATATTTTGGTTTTTAGCTATTTCGTCAATAACGTTAAGATTATATTTATATTTGCGCTGCCTGACTAGATGGATAAGTTCTGCTTTGACCATAGTCTCATTGAAACTAATGCCTTTTGATAGGAGTCATTGTTGGATATCTGCCCTTCTTCTGGACATTGTCGGAACTTTTTTTAGTTTTCTAGTGTGGTATGCAGCATTATCAAGCACAATGTCGACATTGTCGTTAAGCTTTGGAAGCGTTTCCTCAAACCATAGTTCAAATGAACTGCCGTCCATTTCTTCATGGTAGTCGGAAGTTTTCTTTGACTCAGATACCCATAAAGCATTGGGTACAAAGCCATCTTCACTGCTAATGTGACAGATACCAAATCGTTTTCCTTTTCCTGGAAATAACTATTTCGTATAGTATTCAAGAAGACTAATAATAATACAAGCAGAAGATATTACAGGTGTTCTAAGTCTACCAAATATAGCGAAGTTTAGTGAAGCTAAGTTTTCAGTATGGGCTCATAAATTCACTCTTCTTTACATCATTCTTACAACACAAATGACCAATTGGTTAGATACACGTACCTGATGGATCTTTAGGCCAGTGGTTAGCCCATACTTTAGGTTCTGTATGTCCCGCATTTATCCAGGTTTCATCCAAGTTATGAATCTACCTGCCCTGGTCGTGGTTTTTCTTTATTGATTTTATATAATTTTTTCTCCATAAAATAATCTCTTGGCTGTCCATCAAAGTACTATTTCTGACCCGTTTTCTATACCCAAAATGAAGCTCTTTGAGTAAATTATAGAATGTGGTCCTTTTGAAAGTAGGAAAGTTCTCATCACTATTAATCTCCTGTAATACTTTGTCTATGGTGGGAAGTTCCTGCCTTTCAAAAAATTGATAGACTTTGCGTCTGATGGCATTCCTATCAGAATCATCAAATGTATCCAACAGCGCCGTGTAATGCAGCATCTCGTGTGGTGGAGACAAGTTTTTTGCTTTTTTTTATATTCTTTAACAATGTTGAAAATTGTCATAGGACATGAGCCCGTTTTGTTAGCCACACGTCTTTCAATATCATGAATTTTCATTTCAGGATGCTCTAAAATTTCGCTCTTATAATCGTTAATGGCTGAATATATAAATGTCCCTTCTTGTCACGTTTTCGGGGAGCAAGCATGGCTGGACTCATTGGAAGAAATATTCTCAGTTTCATCTGCTGTATCCGTAACGTATTAACACACGCTATGCACCGAATATCAACAGCAACAGCCGGAGTCGGCGTGCCGGCGATACCCCGAGCCTTTGTTCTATCCAGTCGTTTTATGGCCGATTGAGCAATAGCTATTGCAATGCTTAGGCGGCTGTCGCTTTGCCGCGCTGCATCCTTGTTGTGCCGGGGCGTAAGTGGACTGCCAATAAGGTATAATCACTTGGGGTGGGGTACGAACATCCTTCGGGAGCGGGAATATTTCCTCCAGGCGGTACTGGGCTATGCCGGTCATGCGCTGTGCCATTTTAAAGTTGTAATAATGACTTCACGCAATCTCGGGCTTTCACGGGACCGATCAGTCCCTGTTAGTGCAACGCCCTGTATAGTAGCTGAAAATTGAACTGTCACTGGAAGACAAATGAAAAAAATAATATATTGTTATTAGGGTAAAAGGAGGAGAGATGGACCAGGAGGATAGACGGTCCCCCGAAAATATCAGACAAGGTTTGGCAACAAGGCGAGACTAACCTACTGTGTGTTGTTTCCTAACGTCAGTTGTGTCTGAGATGGCCACTAGAGGGCATCATCGCGCGCCTACGCGAGTGTTATTTACGATAATTGAATTTACCACGTGTTAAAATTTTATCAGAGTTTTGAAAACCTGTTTTTTATAAAAATCAGGTAAGTTTATCCGATTTTTTGTTGATCCACTATTTAGATATATATACAAGGTATACTATAGAGTGCCAATTGTAGCTTTAGCATCTAGATGGACCACTTAAAAGGAGGAGAGTTAAACAGGTATATTTTGTTTTAGAATTATGCCCAATAAATACATCCGTAAACAAAGCACACCAAAAAGGGGTTCTTGGTCCCCTAGGGCTTTAAGTGATGCAGTAGATGCTGTGAAGAATGGCGATATGGGCATCAATGAAGCCGCCAAAGCATTTGGGATACCAAAAACAACTTTCAAGCGTCGGTTAAAAGCAAACAACACTGATAAGAATGATCGATTGGGCCCTGATTGTTCTTTGGGCTCGAATGCCGAACTTAAAATTGTTAATCACATCAAGAAACTGCAAAAGGCAGGCTTTTCACCCACCAGAACTGAAGTAAAAATCATGGCGTTTAATTTAGCTCAGCGAATGGGGATCCCAAATAAATTTAATCAAAAAGAAGGTAAATTTTAAAAATACGAAATTCACATTGTTGTTACTAATTATCGTTTTTTTTTAGGTAAAGCTGGCCAAAAATGGTTAGAACTATTTTTAAAGCGAAGACCTGAAATTTCAATCAGGAAATCGGAAAACACCTCAATTGCGCGAGCTTTGGGAATGTCCAGAGAAACCGTTGGTAATTACTTTTCTGATCTCGAGAGAATTATGACTGACATAACTTTTGTGATAAACCCGGGCATATATTTAATACAGACGAAACAGGATTACAGCTGAATACCAGAGCTGGTGAGGTACTAGCCGAAAAAGGCTCAAAATGCGTTCCTAGTGTAAGCCCTGGGGACAAAGGCGAAACAATCAGCGTTATAGCATGTTATAGTGCAGAAGAGATTTTCTTGCCCCCGTATTGTATTTTCAAAGGAAAAAAATAGAAAAGAGGACTGGTTAGAAGGTATGCCACCGGGTTCTAAGATTAGAATGTCAGAAAAATCAGCTTACGTTAACAGCGACATTTTTTTAGAGTGGTTACGAACCCATTTTCTACCAAGAAATCCCCCAGGTAAAACTTTATTGATATTAGATGGCCACACGTCCCATACAACCAACCTGGATCTACTACAATTTGAAGAACAAAATTAAATAATTTTATTTTGTTTACCAGCCCATACAACGCACTATCTCCAGCCTCTCAATCGTGCCTGTTTTAAAACTCTTAAAAGCAACTTCTACGCTGAATGCCGTTTTATGGTTCAAAATAACCCAAACAGGGTCCTAAATCGCCTTCAATTTGGTAAGCTGTTAGGTCGAGCAAAATCCTCACCTGTTAGCCCTAACAAGTCATCAATTCCTGATGAAGTTATAACTCCTGGAAAGGCTCTTGATGAAATAATGCCCATGCCTGTTTTATCTGCAGCAGTAAAAAGAGTCCGCAAAAAAATATCCGGTGAGATTACATCTGAAGAATTTATTAAAAATAAGAAAGATGCACAAATCAAGAAGAGCTCAAAACCTGTGAAAAAACAAAAAATAAGAGAAAGCTGAGCGAATCGTCAGTCTCTGAAGATGATGTTACTCTTGATGACAGTTCTAGTGGTGATGAAGACTTCAGTGATTTAGAAAATGAGTGTGTCGGATGCAAGGAGGACTATCGCCAAACATGTAAACAAGATGACTGGTTACAATGTATTTTTTGTAAGCGTTGGTCACATGAAACTTGTACTGGCTTCGTTAACCTTTGTAACAAGTGTGGAAAGTCTGTAGGTAGCTACCAAAAAGAAGAAATCTTAGCATGGTCCATCTCTCCTACCCCTAGTGGTCCATCTCACCGCCACAGGGTAGGATAGATGGACCAATGACATACCTCTCATTATATATTTTTTTTAGCTCTATGAATTGATATTTTTAGTTTTTATCTATACCAAAAGAAATACCAATGTTAAGTTATGCTATATATATTTTTTTAGTTTTGTTGTTTTTTTATTAAAGGAGCACGCCTAAGTGTTTTAGAATGTGGTCCATCTCTCCTCCTTTTACCCTATTATTGTGATTTGTACATCGAAAAATACTACAGTGGTCTCTGCAACGTCTGCAAAATTAATCAATAGTTGAGTAATGCCTTGAAACAAAATGGAGGCCACACATTGGCTACTCCGTGTATGGCATATCAGAAGAGTAATTTGATTTGAAGCAAAATGTTAAGGTACCAATTATGGAAAAGTTAGCAGGGTAATGTCGCTCGACATACAACAAGGTTTTAGGCCTGGTCGTGGTTCCTATCGTTGTATTGAAGAGGTGTGCAGCGGAGGCTGTTCCAGTTCTTTCGCACCTCTTCTAGATATCTCACGAATCCCGTACCTCGCCAGGAAACTGGAAACTTGCTAATGTCCAGCCCCCCTAAAAAGGGATCTAAGACCCTTACAACTACAGTCTTATAAGTCCGCTTTCTGTTATAAGTAAGGTGACGGAGGTGAGCATAAGTCGCGAGCTTCTGAACTACCTCGAACGTCACGGCTTGGTTAGCGACAGGCCAATGAGATTAAGAAAAAAATACCAGTAGCTTCTTTAAGCTCCTGATAGTAGCCGCGATGCCCTGGTTTTAGCCTACTGTCTGTCTGACTGCTTCTGGTTAAACAAAGCATTCACAATTTTGTGTTGTTCTAGCATTCTTAAAAAAAGTCCAGCTAGCCTGCCGTGGATCCTACTAGAGTCGATTTCTATGATCCACCGCTGATTTCTAGTAGATGCTCATTTGACGATGATAGTAAAGCGAGTGACCTTGGTAGGCTACGTTATTAAAATATTAAGTTTATACGTTAAGTACTTATTGTCTCGTATGTGACAAGGATTCTGAACGAAATGGATTCTGTCGAGCAGACCCATAGAAATTTTTGCGATAAAAGGATATGGCACCACTGAAATTCATCAAAAGATTGTGACGGATGCTGTAGGATATGTAGTTATACAGGGTGGCGCATCGAAAACGAAACAGACGCATTTACTGGCAGCTCATTTTTTTTTTGAAAAACGCTCAGACCCGTCGATCATATTTTCGAGGCGGACACCAGTTTGGCAAAAAATCAGGTTAACACGTGCAGCCCTATGGACGGGGGTGACACCAACACTAAAATCTTAAATGGAAAGGGGAGTGATACATTATTATAATGATGTAAAATACAAGAGCTTCAGTTCAGTAGTTTTGAAGATTTATTGATTTAAAGCTTAAAGTAGACTTTAATAGGTACATCAGATTAATCTGTACTACTTTCAGGAGAAATTTGACTAAAAGAGTTTACTTAATAAGTAAATGCTTTTCTTCACTACGCCCATGGTTTGTTTATAATTTTGTTGTTGAAAATAGCTATTGGAGCGTTTTTTGTGGCAAAAAAGTTATTTCTTGAAGAAAGATAAGGAAATATCTCGTACTTATTTCAAATAGGAATTTAGTACAAGGTTTGCGATTGACTTGACCAAACTTTGTTGCTAATATAACTTGTAACGCTTTACTACATAAATTAACCATGGTATATTCCACAGCAGAAAGAGTTGAAATTATCAAAATATTTTTCGGAAATAATCAGTGCGCTAATAGAACGGCACAAATATTTAACGAGCGACATGAAAACAGTAACGTGCATCGAAAATATGTTCTAGAAATTGTAGCTAAATTGCAATTGCAATTGCGAACTGGGTCAGTCGCCAATAAAAAACGCAACATTGAAAATCCCATAAGGAACGAAGCAATAGAAGTGGGGGTTTTAGGGCAAGTTTATGTAGATCCTAAGTTAAGCATGTATATTGGTCCGATTCTAATCAAAGAATTTATCATGAGGTTCATACATAGCAGCCACAAAAATTAAATGTTTGAGCTGGTATTTTTGACGATCATTTAGTTGGTCCTTTTTTCTTACCTGGAAATTTGACCCGTGAAATGTATTTGGAATTACTGGAAGACGCCCTAGATCCTGCATTAACAGCCATAAGTGAAAATCAGAATGATCGGCGGTACATTACGAATAGGTAGATGTTCCAACAGGATGGTGCCCCACCACATTACGCATTACGTGTTCGACAATATTTAGATCAGACGTTTCCAGATCGATGGATTGGTAGAAGAGGTGCCATTGAATGGCCCCCAAGATCGCCAGATTTATCACCTTTGGATTTCTTTATGTGGGGTCATTTAAAAAGCAAAATCTACGCTACTCAGCCAACGTCATTAGAAGACCTGCGACAAATAATTGTGAATGGGTGCCTTCAAATTACTCCTCAAATATTGCAAAATGTGTGGCAACGATTTGACCAAAATCTTTATTATTGCATGGAGAGTCATAGTGGCCATTTTCAACATTTACTTGCCTAACGGGTCAGTTAATTCTTCACATTTAAATTACTTTGCTGCCAAGTGTATTGATCTAAGCTAATGATGATGTATTAGTTTTATTTAAGCTTTAAATCAATAAATCTTCAAAAATACTGAACTGAAGCTCATGTATTTTACATCATTATAAAGGGAATTGAAAGATCTTTGAAATTATGTATCACTCGACCCGCTTTCCATTTAAGATTTTAGGGTTGGTGTCACCCCCGCCCAGGGGGCTGCACGTGTTAACATGATTTTTTGCCAAACTTGTGTCCCCTCGAAAACAAAATCGACGGGTCTGAGCGTTTTTCAAAAAAAACTGAGCTGCCAGTAAATGCGTCTGTTTTGTATTCGATGCGCCACCCTGAATAGCTAAACGCTGGTTGGGCAATGTTAAGTTATGGAAAGACATCTTGTGAAGATCACCACGGCAGTTGGCCAGCTGTAACGGTATAGACTGTCCAAAACAAAAATATGCATTCTTAATCTAAAAATTGTCAGATTCTTTTGAAAAGTAGAGTTGGGAAACTTAACATATTGCTTCTCCAGGGTAATATTCCCAGCGGTACCCCGCGTATGACTATAGCTGTCTGACATCAACGAGAAAGAAACATTTTAAGGAAGCATCTATCTGCGGTAAGAAGAGTGTTTTTCAGCTGTCTAACAAAATCTTGGAGGCTGGAGCACGATCTACACAATTGTGTACTTAAATGGAACATACAAATTAAATATAGCTTTTTCAGCAAAAGGTGTATCAAAGGGTCAACCCTCGTATGTCTACTAAAGGTATACACAGCATAATTTCCATAAAGTGCAGATGGATTTGAGGAGTCACATTTTGGAGCTGCATGTTTTGACATGAGAAAAACTGCTTTCAGCTTTCTATACATGTATGGGTCTTTTATAGCCAATCACTAAATTCTAAAAATCCTCAAATATATCCAGGAATGTCTCGTATTCTTAGAGATTCAACTGAGAGGCGATATGTTGTAAAGGTTATTCCATCTTGCTTCCATTCCATTTTATTCGGTTATGTTTTCTTTACGAACTGCTTTTAGGACGGCACTATACTTTTTACTGCAGTACGAACATATATCCGTACATACATCGTACACGGCAGTAAAGTCAGTCCATTTAATGGCGGAATAGACTGAATGAATGACCAGGAAAGCCCGCAGTAAAGACTTGGGTAATGTGCTTGTAAATGTCGTAAATTTATAATATAACCTTTACTTTACACAAATATCCATCTTTCCTGGTTTTCTGCTTGCCTCGACGCAACCTACAATAAGAACGTAGGTCTCCTTTCTATGAGTATAAAGGTACGTTTCAGTTACGACAAATTAATGTATTCACTCAACTTCAAACTATTTCTAAAGAAAGAAACGGCCCGCTCAGGCAGCACGTGCACGATTTACCTTACTTAACAAAAATGTCCAGACCTATCACTCTGAATCATAGTGTTTATTTTGAAACCACTCTTTCTTTATAGGCTTAATTCCGTTTTCAGCTATTCTTGAATCAGTTTGGGGTTTTAACACTTTTCACTCAGCCCAGTTCAATGACGAGTTTAGCGGGGGTCAGAGAGACCACCACTCCCCTCCCTGGGCGAGTCGAGATAGACCTCAAATATTTTCTTCTAGATGAATGTTTCCCAACATGAAAAGATTTGTATGTCTTTTTACTACAAAACCAGTGAATCATTGATTCCCAAAGTGGTCTATATCGACCCCTAGGGATCTATGAGAACCTGCAAGGGGTCTAAGTCAGCGAAAAAAAATTTGGGGGTCCATAAAATGAATATGGGGTCCACGATAGTGGATCTCAACACATACACTGATAGTACCTATTTACTTACATCATACTATCTTATAATATCAAAACATATACATTATTTATAAAAGTACCTATGAAGTAAAAAATTTATTATATATGTTTATAAAATTGTGTAAGTTGTAGGATGTTGGTATTCGCTTTCTGGTCGCAATACATTTTGAACTTGTAAAAACCTGAGAGTCGCAGTCTGAGAGCTTCGCTACCTTGCACTGACTTGTTCAATTCGTCACTCTATAAATACGAATGTGGGACAAATACGTTTATTCGTTTCCTGAATCTTGAAAAGGAAAGTGCTAAGAAAATATTTTAAAAAATATAAACAGATAGTCTATCACACAAATTATAG